GATTGACAACACTAGTGATTAGTACCACGCGACTGAAACAATCGTGCGCCCCCCTACTTCAATCAATGTCGCCTCCAGCCAGCAGGCACGTATGCAGCGTCGATGTGTACAGCCACAGACGCGTGCCTCACGGGCCGCTTTTTTCGGCGACCTTTGAAAATATAATGTGAGAATGTCCTACGATAGCGCCCTGGCCCAAAGGATGTTAGGAATATTACACAGTAATTTTTTAGTTGTCCAATCGAGCAACTAGCCAAACGAATAACTCGTCCGACATAGACTTTCACTTGTCCTGAGCCTCATATCAATATCAGCGTTGGTAACCTACAAGTTGCGAGTTGCGAGTGGGGTACTGGGATAGTAAGCAATGCATTGCCAGATATTTATCATTCGCAACTCGCGTTAGTAAGTCAACGCTTAATAACTATTAACTTGAATTTCTTGAAACCTCAACGCTTAACTCACCTCAGCACTATTTTTCCCGTGAATTACCTGTCGTAAAAAAGGTTAAAATACTATAGGTTGGCTGTTTGAGCCGGCTGACCGTACCTCTAACAAAGCCCTAGAGTCGACTGCTTGATCAGCAAGAAATGTCACCTATGTTTAACTGCTAACATCCCAGTTGGCCTACTCCCATTTCACCTACACCCATTTCACCTTCACCCATTTCACCTACACCCATTTCACCTTCACCCATTTCGCCTACTCCCATTTCGTCTACTCTCAGATTCGGCAATATTCCCATTTCGCCTACTCCCATTATGCAGTGATGGATCCAGAAGTGAATTCTATGGGGGAGGGAATCATGCGAGCTCAAGGTCCCTCTGGCTATGTGCCTGGTCGAAACAGCCTGGCCCTGGTTGTTCAAAAGTGGATAGCGCTGTCCACTGGATAAATCACTATCCAGTGAATACGGCTGAATTATCCACTTTTGAACAACTGCTTCAGTCCTGGTCATTAAGTGTCTTATTCTAGTAATCCATATCTTTCAAAGACCCAAATAGCATTTCTTTTCGCCAGTTTATAAACTATATTGCTGTAGGTTTTACTATCGTTGCGGTATCTTTGCCGTAAATTTGGTAAGAAGAAGTTTTTCTCATCCATTTTTTAATTAACAACTCGCAGCTCGCATGCTACCCACACTCTATCAATATAGTTTCACATTATAGTACATTTATTTGCATTTTTTGCACAGCCTTTATAACATTTTACTGGTTACATTCACACTAGTATACAAATTGAACAATGAAAAATGACTCATCACTCATGACTCTTGACTCAACCCAAATTATTTTGAAATATAGGTCATAAATTTTGTGCAAAAATGCTCCAAAATAAGGCTCAGATTGCACCAGAGAGCATCTAAAACCCCTGAGCTTCCAGGGCCCTAAGGCGGCCCCTGGACCCCGGCCGCAAGAGGCTTCGCGCTTGTGATGTGTGCTTGGCGCACATAATTCTTAATAATGTCTAAAGTACTCCTCTAAAGTTCCCAGTGTTACATGTTTGAATTTTAGGTTGTGGACCAGTACCACCCTGCACCATGTATTTGTCTTGTCTTAAAATACACAACGTGATTACATGTCTGATTTTAGTCTAATCGAGCTAGGTGCAAATGGGTATAATTGAATTGTTTTCACTCGCTTTTGTCTCCGAGAATAGAATATAACTCGTTAAATAACCAGCAGCTAGTTACTGTGAGTAAGCCAGGTTTAATAATTCATTTGTGCTATTACATGTTATGCTAGTTGCAATAATGGTTAGAATATGAGCCAAGTACGAGTTTTTGTAGATCGCAAGAGTTCAGAACAGACTTTAGATCGATGGCAGACAGTTTCGTCGAGTTAATCCAATACATGATAGTAATTGATCATTTTGATAAATGATGTATTGTATTGTCCACCTTTTAATTCTGTAATGTGATGCATGAAAGCCAGTTAGATTTGTATGTTTAATCACTGACGATAAGCAATGACAAGATTATATGGTAAATCGTGACAGGTTTGCTTATATATCACATGATTATCAAAATTGAGTAATACATTCCTATGTAATGCTGTCAGAAATTTATTTTAAAAGTCCCAAAATATTTCTGCAAAAGAAAATTATTGTTGGTAAGAAAATTTAAGGTAAAAATAGACTCCAATAACGTGGATTGTGGTAGTGCATTTTCAGTTGATAGCATTTGGTTGATCTTACGAAGCTAAATGAAACTAAAATTGGTTGAATGTAATGAATTAGGAGTTGTGCATTTTTAGTCCGTATAAATTTTTAATGTTGGTAATAGTGTAGTATATTATCTAAGATACTTTGGTAGAATTCAGAAAATCTATTGAAACTGGTTTTATGTTTCCAGTTAATTATAGTAATAACTTTGACCTTATTTTAAATTTGTTTGTATTTTTGTGCTTGTTTGCAGGATGCACCTGATCTCAGCCAGAAAGTTGCCCAGCATTACAACCAGCTGGAGGAAAAAGGAGTAGATAAAAGAAAAGACAGCAGAATATTTTACCTCAGAAACTTCAACAACTGGATAAAGAGTGTTCTTATAGGTACTAACATTTTCAGAGGTGTAGTAGCATATTTGTGACCTGATTTTATAGTGATTTATCATAACTATTCCTGGAACTGCCTTAAATGTACGTGTATTGGCTGCTATGGATATTTTACTTTCGCAACAATAAGAAGAATTAAGGGCGCGTTTGTTTGGGACGAATCCTTCTGATCGAGATCGTATGATCCTGATCCGACCAAACAAATGCAAAACTCACTGCTTTCACCGGTTCACGTTTCGCTGTGACCTATCACGGGATGGTTCATAACAAAGAACAAGCTGTGATTGGCTGAGGCGTGGGCCGCCATATTGGATCCCGTTCGAATCCGCCTCGCTAGCAGGGTCGGGTTCGGCGGATCGAGATCAAGTGATGCGACCAAACAAACAGTCAGATCAACGAATCCATCGGATCGAGATTCGTGGATCCGACCAAACAAACGCGCCCCAAGTATGACTTTTGTGAGAAAAAATATCCAGTTCTTCCAAATTTACACTCCTGCTCATGTTGGGAAGTGATTATGTAAAAGTAGGCAATATGGTATGCTAGGAACTTTATTTGAAGGTTTTATTTTTAGCTCATCTGACGAAGTCAGATGCAGCTTGTAGAATCGCATGAGCGTGCGTGCGTCCGTGCGTGCGTCCGTCAACAGTTGGGCACAAATCTAAACCGCTCGACGTACGGTCACGATATTCGGGACGTTGGGGGTTGGGGGGGGGGGCGTGAAAAGGACTCGGGATGACAAATTTGGGGGGTCAAGGGTCAAAGGTCAAGATGTGTAAACGGAGGGGGAATATTTCCCTCTTAACCTAAGGTAGAGGAGGAAATACGGAATTGCGGCACAAAATGCAGCTCGACCTATGCTCTTAATATTCGGTGTATAGTGTAATGGGCAGCAAACCCATCACCAGTGTGAAATTGGATGTCACAGGTCAAAGGGCAGTGGGGGAAAGGTCAGATATCAGACATTTTCTGCGGACATGGCCTAATGGACAGAGTGAAAAACTTTTTTGCTTCAGCGCTGACCTACCATTTTTATCACTTTATTGAAAGGACCATGAAATGTGCTTTCCACTGATGTGCGAAGAGTAAGTGTCTGATAACCTTTTGACCCTCAAGAGGATGGTTAAACATGGATTCCTGAACTGCCTCAATGATGTCACAGTGTTGTCATATTCATGACACATCCATAATCTAGAAACCCAATAAGCCTGGATAGCCGAACGCGTACAGCACGGGCGTCACGGCTGAAAGGTCGTTGGATCAAATCCCATCTGATTTTTTATTATTTACCTGTTTTCTGTAGTTTTCTATCTTTATCCATTTAACTATTTTTTTCCAATTAACGCAAATATTTACATGATTTGTTTACAACAATTTAATAACAACAAATAATTTTTACAACAATTAATTTTTGTTTTGTTTAATAGGGTTAGGGTTAGGGTCACAATGCACCATAAAACAGGAGTTTCAGGCACGCGATTTGTATCAACCAATGGGATTTTGGAGGTATGCAGAATGCAGAAGGTTGCTGAATTTCAGAAATGATGTGTACGCAACTGCGTATCTGCATATCTGCGCCTAACAAAGGTGTCACTTCACACGACTTAAATGTTACGTTTATAACCGTAGCAAAGGATCTCAGATGAGATGAGCCCAGACGCTCTGCGGCTCTTGTTGAATAAGGTATAATAAATAGGAAATTAGTGAACATTCATAATACAGTAGCATACACACAATTGCTATAATAATATACATTGTAAATGATTTTAATTAAAGTTCCCAGTCCTGACTGCTTCAGTAGCTGAAGTAGTAGACCTCATCTGATTTTGTTGTTTCTGTCACAATCCATTGGTTCCCTGTTATTTCCAGTATGGCCAGATAAATCTGACGCAATTGGAGTTTGTCTGTTATTAAACTGAGAATTCTGTTTGTGGAAATTGTAAATGTTTTGTATATCTTAACAGGGGAATACCTCAAGAAGGCGAGACTTTCCAAGCCACGGGAGTCTGAATTGACCATTTTGGATCTAGCATGTGGTAAAGGTGGTGATTTACTCAAATGGAGAAAAGGTCGAATCGATCAGCTAATATGTGCTGGTAAGGTGAATGTGTGTGTGAGCGTGCGTACACGCGTGTGTGAGGCAGGAGTTAGGCGAGATTTAGAAACAGGGCATTGTATTGTCATGGAATGCCAGCACGGAAGGTACAAAGTTCCTCTAGGGATTTCAGTGGGCATGCCCTATTTTTCTGGGAGGGGGAATTTTATGGAGTTTCTTGAAATCTTGCACATTTATGAGTAATTCTGACACATTTTCTGCACGTATTTCTTTCAAACAAAGTGCATAATTTTTCCAGACGAACTTTTAGGCCACAAGGAATTCATCATTTGACTTTTCTATTAACAGGCTGTTGAAAAAACAGCCAGGCAGCTCTCTAGCTAAGTCACTAGTGTATGTGAGTGTGCATGCGTGCACATGAATGTGTGCGTGCATGTTTGCGTTACTTAAAAGACATCTAAATAAAGAACTGCATATAAAATGACATATCAATATATTTATACCATCTTTTTGTCTCTGTCATCATTCTGAGCTGAGCTAGAAGTGTGTAAATACTCACACTATAACTGGATTTTAAGTATGTCGTTATGTAAGTTAAGTTATGTAGTCTGGATAACTAGACACACCAGTCTAGCGATCTACCAGCAGCAGGTGATGCCGTAATCGATATTTTGCTATCCCATTACAATCTAGCAGTAGGGAATGGTCGTAACTATGGTAACATATAGTATGTAGTTTTGTCTAGCTTTCTAATCCATGATGATATTAACTGATATTGATCGTTATCAACACCAAAATACATTTTGCTCTGCAGTTAAAAATGCAAATCATTTGGCCTGTATCCACCCACCATTCTTTGCATATAGACTCCAGATGTCACACATTCTTGGTAGTTTGCTTCGTCCCATTCACCAAAACACGGTCAACAAGTAATGGAAACACGCAAACTGTCCATCGGCCCTAATCCCCCTCTAATTTTATCTACTCTGTTCCCGTTGATGATATCGGGAGGCTATAACCTATAGAATGCACAGTAGCAACAACTGAAAACAATTTAATAGTTTCAGTCAAATTTAATCGTTTTACACACTGAGTTTGGAGAATGTACTTAGGCTGTAATGATGTGTTATGAGGTGAGCTAAATATTCATAAATACTCGTGAATCTGTCAATTATGCTCACTAAATCTTGGCCAATATAATAATCAATGCTAAAATCCTTGGAGTTGTGTGAAATAATTCGAATTTGAATTCTGCTGTACTTTGTGTATTACACGTACTACATTCGGCAGAGCGGATTCACGGCATATAGTGAGGATTTAGGCTCTCGATACATTTACATGTGTTCATGTGTGCCTGCGTGATTGCATTTTTGCCAGTGCGAGTGTGTTATTTTCTATATAGTGGTGCTTTACTAATAGACTTTGTGCTTTGCTATAAATGAGATTTGCTTTGTTTTATTCATGTAGAGATAGAGAGGGAGAGAACGCGAATAGAGTTACGAGAATACTGCTTGTTGTTCAGATATTGCTGCGACGTCCGTGGAACAGTGTGAGAAACGGTACACTGACATGCTTGAAAGGAACAGTAGAGATAGACGTCCGCAACAGATTTTTCACGCAGAATTCCACACTGCAGACTGTGGCAGGGTATGTTTGAATGTCAACAGCAGGCAGGGAGCACTATAAATTTCATTTGGGAAAGTACGAGTTATTTGACAAATAGCTGACATAATAATTATTTTGGTCGAGTTAAATAAAAAAGAATAGTTGTAATATATTTTTTGATGGCATCTAAATTAACTGACCTTATAAACAACACTTTGATATATTTATTTCAATAAGTTTTTTAAAAACAAAATTTAATAATCAATCCAAAAATCAATCATCAATCAATCATTTCAATTTACTTTTCGTAAAACATGTAAAGCGTAATATAAATCACTGCCAGTTGTTCTACAGTAGACTGCTAACTAATCCCACTAATCATAATTATTATAATAATAATATCGTGATAAAAAAACGGAGTGAGGAACTTCACCAACTCCTCTGTCGCCCTGACCTCCGCAGGTCAGATTGAAAGACGTGTACAGGAACCCGGCGACGACCTTTGACCTCGTCAGCTGCCAGTTCTCGCTGCACTACACGTTCGAGAGCCAATCGCAGGCGGAGGTGATGGTTCGGAACGCGTGCGAGAGTCTGCGGCCGGGCGGATTCTTCATCGGCACAATTCCCGACGGATACGAGATCGTGTACGTCACTCATCGAGTCGCCATTGTCAGCGATGGCATGGGAATTGTCTGTCGTCGCATTCAGATGCGGTCATTCCCTCGCGAAATTTGTTGTTTGGCTGCGGATTCAGTCGGTAGGAATGAGGCCAAAAAAAAACATGAAAAAATAGCCTTAGCCTGATAAACCACAAGCATAGGCCCAACTCGGTCTTTCTTTTTCGCGTATTTTCTACAGTAATTTGTGTCTTCGTTTGCCGCAGACGTCGTAGGTAGTATGTGTACTATACTGAATGGTTCCGCTGCTTCGAGAGGGAGAAAATTGCGTACTGGGTTGAACTCAAAACAAAAAAAAGTAATATGTATGTATGTATGTTAAAATTTTATATGTTTAATTTCTTGCAGGCGGAGGTTACGCGAGGCGGATGATTGTTCCTATGGCAACAGTGTGTATAAGATCACATTCAACGACAAGGAAGACTTTCCGCTGTTTAACTGCCAATACAGCTTCTACCTCGAAGGAGTTGTGGATTGTCCTGAATTTCTCGTCTACTTTCCCCTCTTTGTCAAGTACGTAGCTTATTAAAATAGTTATATGCTTGCGTGCGTGCGTGCGTGCGTGCGTGCGTGCATATGTGTTAAAACCCAGAAATTTCCGAATCATTATGAGTTTGCAAACACTAGAGTACGAGAGGTGTGTGTGGTCTCTGTGCTGGGGTAGTGCTGTCATGTGGCCAAATGCTTGCACCTCATATCAATGTTCTCTAAGCCGGGATTTTTTGCCTTTCCTTTGCTCCCCACCCGTTAACCTGTTGTCTAGTTCCCATGTACTGCACTGGAGGGGCATCCTACCACACTTCCGTGTTGCATGATTGTTTACACAGCCGCTCTCCCTTATGCTTCATGCCCTGGTGTACTGGAGAGATGGATGCTGCTCCCCCTTCTATCGTACCACCTAATCATACGAATGTTTACGTCGCCCCTCGTACTACCGGATATACACGGCCATACACAATTACGGCTTACACGCAGCATGGTGTTGCGGTGCACACTGATATGATGCTATTGATGTAATTAATGTGTATTCGTTGATAAATGTACACTGAGCAGGCTAATTGCTGTGGTTACATTTCACCTGCTGTCAATGGTAATAGAGCAGACTATAGATTCGTGTGTGCAGGCTATTTCACAGGTCATTTGGCAGTCACCCGATGGTGACAAGTTAGGGTAATCGGCATGGCTGTGGGAAGGTTAAACCATAAACGAGTTAAAACTACATTCTCCGACGGAAAGCTGTCATAAATGTTCGTATATACACTACTATTTCTTTATCGTCACATAAAAATATCCCGAAAATGCCACGTTTAGCAGAAACAAGCGTTGTGATTTGATTTGATACTTCGCAAGATATAAACAAACCGCCGTGTCCGTTTGTTAAAAATTTACTTTATGATGCACAGACGGCACAGGACAGCATCATTGTGATTCATATTTGTGCATGCTCTCTAATCTCTTATAATACTTTGTGCAACAACGAAGTAAAACGGTTTTTACCTCATAGTATAGTAACATTAAAAAATAATAACCCCAGTTTCACTTTCGTTAATAGATTTTGGCACAATGATAAGAATTTCTGCTTATTTACATATTATTTTGCATGCTATAACGATGCATAGATGTACATAATCCAGAATAATAATAATAGAGTCAATCCAGTTACTGTGTATATATTACGCTGCCCGTGTGTGATACTTTAACCAATGTAAACATTGGAACTGAAAGCAGATTTTGTGACATTGAATGATTGATTTTTGGAGAAAACAGTTTAAACGACATTTGAGCTTATTTAATTGGCTCTGCGTTTACATTGCAACTGTGATCGATCTCTTTATTTACACAGTGAGTTGTATTGCTGTAGGTACAATATGAAAAGAAAGTGACAAAGAAGCACGTTTTTTCATTCTCCATTGTATTATGCAGTAACGTCTGCACATATGTTGCACATATCATTTATTTCTATATGACTGTAAGTACAAGCGAAAGACTCGCTAACAAAGAAAAAGTAGCATTGATATTTACAATGACACGTGACAGGTCAGATAGCATGGTTAATTGGTTATGATGATTTATCACGTTATAGCACAGCAGAGCTAATCGTTACGATGCCAGCAGATGAAACGCACTGGTGCAGAATTGTTATAATTTTATTGGTTTAAGACACGAGCTCACCATTCCACTTCCATCGCTATATTAAGAGCAGGCGACGTAAAACGTGCAGCAGATGAGAAGGTTGCGTAGAACTGTAGTTATATTATGGTGAACGTTTAACGCAAATTCATCATTCCGCTTCCATCGCGCTGTAACGAGATTCTGTCGATCGAAGGAATGGAAATGATTGATGCACGCACCTCCAATGTCTGTACGAACGGAGGCGATGTCGCTTGCCTTCATATCGGCGGTCGTGCGCAGACGACGCGTTACACTTAAATTCTCGTGCACCATATTTGCATGGGCGATGGCGGCCGCGGCTGGTAAAGCGTGAGCGCGCACAACGACTCGGTCGCCGACATCTCCTCCCCGCGGTCGTTCGCGATCCGTGGCGCCCCCTTCTGGCTGCGCCGGCTCCCGATCGGCGGCAGTCCGTTCTGGCTGCGACTGCTGTCGCTGCTCTGCGCCGCCGCTGTGCGCTTGTCGTCGCCACGGCAACGCGAGGCGAACAGCAGGCGAATCTCGGCGCGGAAGTCGGCGTTCACGAGGCTGTAGATGTAGAAGTTGAGCGCGTGGTTGAGCAGCTTGAGCAGGTTCGCAAAGTGCTTGAACGTGACGACGGCCGGGCCGGCGACGCGCGCAAAGTCGAGCGCGTAGTTGACGAACGACGGCAGCATGCAGACGACGAACACCATCGAGGTGGCGAGCAGCAGCACGACGAGCCGGCGCTCGCGACCTCTTGCCTCGCGACCCAGCTTCGCGCTCGCCGCCGCCGCGCGCTGGCCCTGCTGGAGGAGGCGGCGGCGCGCGACGCTGCGTCGGTGCGCACGCGCGATGAGCGGGTTCAGCGCGACGACGACGACGACGGGCACGAGCCGGTAGAGCACGCTCTCCACCCAGAACCACGCCTCGTAGGCGGCGTGCTGCGTGACGCGCGGGTCCAGCTCGAACGTGTAGTAGGTGCGGTTGCGCGCGTCGTCCCACGCCTCCACCACCACCTCGTTGATCGCCCACGGCACGTGCATCGCGAAGCTCACAGTGACCGCTGCCGCGACGATGCCGCGCGCGAACCCCGCCGTGCGCCGCGCGGCCGCCTCCAGGGGGCGCCAGACGAGCACGTAGCGGTCGGCGGTGAGCACGGCGATGAGGGTGTCGCTGGCGCCGATGAAGCCGTTGACGAGGAACATGAGTGCGTAGGTGAAGAACGCAACGGTGGCATGCGACCACAGGCGCGGGTCGCGCAGCGACGCAAACGCAAACGACGACCAGACGGCGATGGCGCTGAAGTCGGCGACAGCGAGCCAGCGCAGGTAGACGCAGGAGACGCCGAGCAGGCGCAGGCTGCGCGGCCGCCACAGCACGGCAAGGTTCAGCGAGTTGCCGACGATGCCGATGACGCAGACGAGCGGGATCAGCACGCTGTTGATCGCAAAGTTGACGTTCGCGAGCGCGTCGTCGTCGGGGTCGGGGTTCGCTTCCGTGGCGTTCGTCGTCGTTACCTCGCCGCGTCGCTGCGTCACGTTCATGATTGCCTGCATCGTCGGTGGAGCCATGACGGCGGGATTCGTGAAGTTAGTTGCGTGTGCGCATACCAAGATGCGTGCGTGCGTGCGCTCCCGTCTCACCGAAGAACCCTCTGACAAAATTTTACTACGATGCTTTTACTACGATGCT